CTGGTACTTTCTAGTTGGTAATGGGAATTGGTGGAGCTGAAAGTAAAGAAATACCCAAAAATGTTTTACCAGAATCCTGTCTTAGTGTGGCAGAAGTTTGCTCTCTCTCCATTTTGTCCACCCTCAACCTTGCCAGACTTTGTTTCACTTTGGCTTTATTTTTAAAATGCCTTTCTGGTGAGTGAGGAAAGGTTTTGTACTGTGCTTTCAAATGACTCACCCAAAATAACTCCATTCAACTTGTAAATGATCCTGTTCAGAATGCAGATTGTGTTTGTTCTGAAACGGGCATGAAGGAGCTGGAGAAGGGAGATTAGAGAAGGGAAATGTGGTGGGAGAGGCTAGTGTAGGTTATATTTATTTAAGTTCATGCACACACCAGGAGAATCAATTCTTTTTTAAATAAAGACATTGTGTGTTTGTGTTTTAAAGAACTGTTATGAGTCTGTACCATTTAAAGCTTTACAAGATCCATCAGTATTAGATAGATACATGGTTCATCTAGTCATCAACCTTTTTCCTTTTCCTTGTCTTCGTAAAATGCAGAAGGGGGATTTACGTGCAAATATATAATTCCAAATATATGCATAGTGAACTGATACATTTTTTATAAAGTTCTAAATGGTTCCAACAGAGAAGTAATCATATACATAACACAAGAGCTAGAAAATAATCTTAAAAAGAAAAAAATGTACTGGTAAATTGATTACACAACAGAACAGTGTTAACACCAGGAGAAACTCAATAATGACATCGTCCTGTTTTGCTGTGTACTGCAGAAAAGTCTTTAATATCAACTGTCATGGGCACAGAACTAGCGTTTGATAAGATTTAAAAGCTTTTATAATTCAAAATGTCAAAGATCTTTAAAAGCAGCATTTTAGGACAAGGACGGAGGGGCAGGGGGTAGGAATTGACCCAAAGTAGAGTATTAAGACTTCACAGATGAATTACAAACATTTTGGCTTTCCCATGTGGAACCATGTCCAGTAAAGAGGATTTCAAAACCTCCTTTGAGTTGTTTCGTGAATTCATGAAACAAACCAAATAAAGCTTATTCTGTTACATAACCTTGCTTTGCTTCATTATTGATGAAGAATAGACAGCCATTCTTACCTGTTGCTCAGAAACACCAGAGAGTTGAGCCACTGAAAAGAAAACAAACTGGCCACAAGGTTTCACTGTGGAGAGGGTAAATTTAACATTGTGTATCAAATTGAAGAAATTATGATCTGAGAATGAGTGATAAAACTGACAAGCCTTTGACATGCACAAAATTAGGAAGTATGTAAACTGATAATTTACCTGGATTGTGTAAATAATTTGCAAAACAAAGTTCTAGTGATACTAACACCTGCTTCTCCTTCTGGTGTGTACTTGGGAAAATAAGGGAAATCAAAATAGCAGACGGCTGTACTATTTTAATGATTCCTTGTGAGGACAAGCAACTAATCTAATAATCCTCAAAATTTTGCTAATGTGGAAAAACCCTAAGAATAAGCAATAAGTTTGAATTACAGACTTTAAACATGCAATTTCTTACTTTTAAATACATATAATAATCAGAAATACTAAAACCGGAAATAGTTCAATGATTAATAACAGCTTATGAGAATATATCAAGGAAACAATCTAAATCAGACTAACCTTTCCTCATAGTTCAGTTTTCTGATTTGTAAAGAAATCTCTGAAAATTTTTGAAGAGTTTACTCTTTTATTACATTTTCCTTTCATTCTTTTATCTTATTGCAAATTATTCCATTGATGTCCCTGGAAATGGTAATAGGAATATTGAAGGGCAGAAAAGATTTCCTGTTGAAATAAATTATAGAACAGGTTTCTAAAAATAAATTTTGAGGACTTCTTAAGTCTTTAGCATTCATTGTGACTGGGTTGCGGGTGGAGAAAGAGGAGAGGATATAATAGTCTGTGGTGTTTTCCAAACTTATTTTGTATAGAATTCTTTTCTTCGGGCAATCCCATGGAAATATAAAATGCTGCTGTTTATTTAACGTGAAATTCTACTTATTTTGTACCTCCCAGTTCCTTTTTGTCTTAAAAGGGATGAAAATTTGATGAAACTCCAACTCTACCACTTTTAAATCAGATTCTAAATTATTAAGATTTTGATGTACAAAGTACAATTTTTGATTACATAAATATTATTGAAGAAACAATACCATAACTAGAACCAAACTACTTAGCCCACTCTATAGAAAATTTTGTTTTGTAATTTTGAGGCATGTGTTTGGAAAAGTAAAAAATAACTAAAATAATTAAACCGAGAATAATGTTTCACTTATAATTTAAGCTTTTCCATTTAAAACTGCCTAACGTAATCAGCTTGAATTTATGCTGATTTTAAATTACAGCTGCCTTAGCATGGGGATAGCAGGCCGTATAGAAATAACATGAAACAAATATTTTATCAATTTGTTTATTCTGAAGAACACAAAAACCAGAAAATTTAGCTTAAAAGGACCCATTATCCCTTGTGGGATCAGCACTGTTCTGAAAGTCTCAGGAGTGCAAGAAGAATATTGAGAAATGTTCTTTAATCACTCAGAATTTAACAATTTGGCTGGTAATGCAAACATACCCTTCAGGGCCAGTCCTGTTATTTACTGCACAAGGAATTCCCAAAATAAATGATACAGACATCCTGTCCTGTATCTGGGAACTGTGGGAGGAATGTGATCAGGAGCAGCAGAATGATGGAATCGAGAAGTTCTGGCTCAGCTGGATTTTGAAAGTCATGAAGGTACTGGACAGAAAGAACAGGAACTAATTAATAGGCAAGCACAAAGAGTCAGCAACAGCATATGGAGGTGACAGAATTGTAGCTGGGAGCAGGTGGACTGGGTGGTGTCTGTAAGGGCCCTGGATAAAACTAGAAGGCAGCATATTTTTGACATTTGACCTGTCCTTTCAGTACCCCTTCTCTAGGTACCTCCCTCACTCACTCTATTTCTCACCTTCCCCAAAGACAGCTAGACTCTGGCCTGTTTTGGAGGGCCATTAAATTGTTAGCTGCATCCTAATTAAGACTGAGAACTCTTACAGATTCAAATAAAAGATTCTCTAATAGTGAAATGTCAAGCCTTTCGGATATAAGCATCACTGTTCTACCTGTCCTTACTTTCTAAAGTAAATATACAAGACCCAGGATAATATTATGATAGTTCTGGAAAGCTAGTCTGGATTTTGAATTTGATATTGGGGATACTGGTAAACCATTAAAGTTGTTGATTTTTATTAAGCAATAAAGAGGGGTGTTCTGGAAATTGTAAGTCAAGAACAATGTGCTAGAAAGAAGATAGGAAAGAATGGAGGCAGGGAAAATCAATGTGCTATTTTAGTAGTCTATGACTTAAGTGTAAGTGCCTGGACAAAAAACAGCTGGCACTATTTCACCTCAAGAGAATTCTATATTTTAAGTTCTCCAAAAATCAGTGTCTTTTCACTATCAGTGACACTACATTTAATCACCTTGTGATATGAATGTTTCCATTAGGAATTTTACCATGTTCTTCATCTTAATTTCAAATGAAAAAAATGATTTCATAATCAACTACATTGTATATTGACAAAATAAAAATAATAAAAAAAATGATTTCTTCCTTAAAATATTACGCTTTGGAAAATATTCTTTTCAATCAAGTTAAGATCAAAAAGTGTTCTAACTTGTTCTTCGGAGTATAGCCAAGTACAACAAAAAACTGGATGCCTTACATCCATTTTAGATGTAAGTTTAAGGGAATATTGTTGCTTAATATGTCACACTGTGTCTAATTTTGGATAGAATTTGATCTTCTTTGCTAATGAGATTTTTAAAATAAAAGGGAATGTGGAAGCTCATTTTTAAAAGTTCTAAACCTTGACATCGTTTGTTTCTTGTAGAATCTTGTAGTAACAAAATCCAAGCAATTATGTCTACATTTTCCCCAATCATTCTTTGCTCTATTTTTCTTCGCCTTTCTAGGTCCAACTTCAGTGTGAAATTTCCAGATTAAATATTCTTTCTCAATTCATTTTCATACGTCACACAGCCACGATAAAGGACACTTTAAAGTAGGAAAGCGGCAGTCCCAGGAAGCTTGGTCTTTTCCAGTTTTGACAATTTGACAACAGCAATCACGCGCCTTCCTTTCATTCTTGCCCCATATCCTCGGACACTAAATGTCCTGCATTCAGGAGACTTCTGGAGGAATAGGTTTCAGGGAGCCCAAGCAGACACTTGTTTTCACGAGACAGCGTTTTGTGAGACTTGGGCTCCCCCACTTTACTGCTATCTTTGGATGGGAAAGGAAGGGCTGAGAGAAGTAAAGATTATTAAACCAGCCAACCCACCCATCTCCCCAACTCCGCGGGCTGCCGCGGGAGGCGTGTCCGCGTACTCGCGCCGCTCCGCGCCCGCCGCGC